CCGCACAGGAAGCCCGGTGCTCTGCTCTCTGAAGCTAAATGAATTCACGTCGGCCAAGAGCTCTAGCTACTTGCTCCCTCTGCGCACAGGCCCCACCTCTGCAGCACCTGCTGCTTCTAGAAAGTGGAGCAGCTGCGGCAGCCCCAGGCCCTCAAAGGCCCACACGGGCAGGCACAGCCCGGCCCAGCTGCAGCCCAGAGGGGCGCCAGGCCAGCACTGGGGATCAGCGTGCTGAGGACTTGAGGGGTGCTGGTGGTTGCTGGAGCCAGAGCCAGGATGCTGTGCCGCACGCCTGCGAGGGATGATGGTCCTTCTGGGCTCCGGAGTTCCCTGGGTGCTCCATGAGAGCTGTGGGCCCGCGGTGAGCAGAGCCCTCACTGCAGGAGGCCATCTGTGCCCCCGCACTTTGGTGCTGTCCAGGACTGTGTCCCCCACAGCTGTGAAGGCTCTGGGTCACTGCAGAAGGTTGGAGGAATGCCAATCCAGGACGACTTCATTAAGGACGTGGCATCAGAGGGCCCTGCACAGCAGAGCCATCGTTCTGGCTCACCTGAGTGGGAACTTTGCTGAGGGCTGTCCTTTCCCCTGTGCCCATCTCTCATTTCCCCTGTGCCCATCTCACTCTCCTTTCCCCTGTGCCCATCTCACTCTCCTTCCCACTGTGCCCATCTCTCCTTTCCCCTGTGCCCATCTCACTCTCCTTCCCACTGTGCCCATCTCTCTCCTTCCCTGTGCCCATCTCTCGTTTCCCCTGTGCCCATCTCTGATTTCCCCTGTGCCCATCTCACCCTCCTTTCATGTGCCCTTCTCTCCTTCCCACCGTGCCCATCTCTCCCTTCCCACTGTGCCCATCTCACTCTCCTTTCCGCTGTGCCCATCTCTGGTACAGGGTGGCTCTGGCATAGTGTGTGCTTCCTCTCCTTTCCCCTGTGCCCATCTCACTCTCCTTCCCACTGTGCCCATCTCTCCTTCCCACTGTGCCCATCTCTCGTTTCCCCTGTGCCCATCTCTCGTTTCCCCTGTGCCCATCTCACCCTCCTTTCCGCTGTGCCCATCTCTCCTTCCCACCGTGCCCATCTCTCCTTCCCACTGTGCCCATCTCACTCTCCTTTCCGCTGTGCCCATCTCTGGTACAGGGTGGCTCTGGCATAGTGTGTGCTTCCTCGTGACACCCCCGAGCGCCTCTCCTGGGTAGTCCTTTGTCCGCGGTCTTCCTGAGGGGAGGTTGAGGAGAGGCCCCAGGTCTAACCCTGCGGCAGACGGGCCGCCACCTGCATCTTGGGACGCAGCAGGCAGTGTTTCCACTGTGAGTGTGGGGACAGGGACCCACTTTCAGAGAAAGAATTTGGCATCTGGTGACAGCGTCTCGTTTCCAGGGGAGTTTCAGAAAGAGTTTGCTTCTGCGTGATATAAATACACATTTGGCAAAAGCAAAACACAAAGCCAGGCTCTTTGGGTTCTTAGACTAAAAATGTGTTGGGACCACCAGGCTCTGTGCTGCGTCTGGTTCAACCTCTACTCCCTGGTATGCCCTGCAGAGGTCATGGCGTCTTCGGTGTCACATGTCTCTGGGTGGCACAGGCCCCTGAGACTGCTATGAACTTGCATCTCCAGCTTTTCAAGTTTTACTGGAGTCTCATCAAGGCAGTAACTTGATGTGAGAAAGAAAGCAAATGCCTAGATTGGAGATCACACGCTGGGAACAGGAAAGGCACCGTGGTGCACTGCGGGTGCTTGTGTTCATCTGATGACACTTTGGGTGCCTGCTCTGAACTGGGCCCTGCTCTGGGTGAACAAGACAGATAGCCACATCCCCGCCATGGAGCTCTGGGGCTGGCAGGGGACAGCACAGTGGGGAGGAGCCTGGGGGTGCCATGAGGAAGCTTGCTGAGGACTGCAGGGCTAGTAGGGGACAGCACGGTGGGGAGGAGCCTGGGGACAGCACAGTGAGAGGAGCCTGGGGCAGCACAGTGGGGAGGAGCCTGGAGGTGCCATGAGGAAGCTTGCTGAGGACAGCTGTGAGCAGTCACCCTGGGTGACTCCGAGCTGTGGGAGGCCAGTGCGGTGCAGGGACCCAGTTGGTCACTTTGGAGGGGAGGACCACATTCTTTGTCACAGCTAAAAAAATTCCCAAAAATCAAGACCCACCAAAGACTATCTTACAGTCGCAAACTGTGAACCACAAAAGGTCGCATTCCACAGATAGGAAGAGTCCAGAGATACAACAAAGGCAGGGCAGACCCTCAATAATGCCAAATCGTCGAATAATTGATACAAATTATAATATTGTAAATTATTCAAAGCATGACAGAATTAGAAACGTAAGTACCACACTATGAAAAAACATCCCAACAGATTTAGAAAATGTAGAACTTGTGGAAGTATTATCATTAAAATTAAAAGCTCCAGGAATGAATTAAGTGCCAGAGTAGACACGGCTGGAGAAGGGATTAAGGAACAGGACGGCAGGCCTGGGGAACGACCCAGAATGCAGCACAGAAATGTGGCAGGATGGGACAGGAGGGTAGGGGCTGAGAGAGGAGGGAAGAGCCCAGTGCTCGCGCAGTGAGGGTTCACGAGGGGCATGCTGGAAAGTTGATGACTGGGCATTTTCCAGAATTATCCGAGACATAAACCTCAGGAAGCATGGTGAGTCCTGAGCAGGAGGAATGGAAGTAAATCCACATGCAGACATATCAGAGTGAAACAGCGGAACGTTGAACATGAAGAGAAGATTTTTAAAGCAATGTGGGAAAAATGTCCTGTTACCTACAAGAATGCAAGTGGCAGTGGGTTTCCAGAACAACCACAAAAATATACACCAGGAGAAGTGGAGGGATTCGATCACAGAGCTGGTGGAAAACCCGACACACTTAGAGTTCTCCCAGCAACCAACTCAGCCTTCAGAATGGCCAAAATGAAGACAGTGCCCTGCAGGGGAGAGATGTGACCCCACCAGCGGGTCCCACGGAGAACCAGGAGTAGCTGAGCTTCCAGAGCAGGGTGGGATGAAGAAGGAAGAAGAACATTTGTGTAAAGCTTAAAAACCTGTAGGCTAAGGCGAGCTGCTTTTCGTGGACTCATACATGGTGGTAATATGAAAACACACTTGGGGCCGGGCATGGTAGAACACTTGTGGAGGCCGAGGCAGGAGGATCGCTTGAGGCCAGGAATCTCAGACAAGTCAGGGCAATGTGGCAAGACCCTGTCTCTATGAAAAATAAAGACTTAGCGGGTGTGGTGGCACACGCCTGTAATTCCAGCTGCTCGGGAGGCTAAGGCAGGAGAATCGCTTGAGCCCAGGCGGCAGAGGTTGCAGTGAGCCAAGATTGCACCACTGCACTCCAGCCTGGGTAACAAAGCGAGACTAGGTCTCAAAAAATAAATAAATAACTTAAAAACCACACTTGGGAGTCTTGAAAGGTCTGAGTTATGCTGGGAGGAATGAGAGGATTTGGTGGTGCAGGGGAGATCTGATCCCCTCCTGCCAGTGCCTTCCTGAAATCTCAAAACGTGTTGTGTCATAGAGATTCAGGGAACCTGCCATCAGCATTTTGGTGAAAGCCACTGGATGACAATGGCTCCTTTCCGACTCTCAGTAGATCTCAAAGATGCTCCTGGGCAGGCCTTGGGGGAATCTGGGCTCCTAGTCTCATAGCTGGTGCCTGCAGAGCCAAGAACCACATGGCACCTGGCGGCTGGCAGCCTCCCTGCTGCCTCCTCCCCTCCACACCTGAGAAGCCAGCAGGGCCCACGCTGGGACTGGGGACCCTGCTGCATCTCTGACGTGGGGAAGCCTCAAACTCAAGCTCCAGAATGACCTAGAGATGATGTGTGTTTATAGGCCTGTGTATGAATGTATCCGAGTACATGCCTGCATGCAAACACACACATGCCTGAGTGCACATAAACACGTGCCTGCATGCACACACACATGCCTGTGTACACATAAGCACATGTGCAGGATTGGTCCAGAGCCCATGCCCCTGCTCTGCCTTTGAAGAGGGGCGTCCCTCTCCTGAGGCCTCCACTGCATCCCCACCCCACTGAGAAGCTGACTTGGGGCCCCTCCCAGAGGCCGTGGGTGCTGGAGGGAGGGAGTTGCTCCCTTGAAGGGTAGTTGGAGCCGTACCCTCTTAGGAGGCAGGAGGCAGCGGGGCTGTGAACTTCTGTGCTCCAGGCAGGAGGCCTGGGCCGGTGGCTCAGGTAGCAGCTTGGCACAGGGTAATGGCTGTGTGCATGAGGTTGCTGAGTGCCTGTTTCAGGGATGAAGGACGAGGTCACAGGAAGAGCCAGGATGTGGTGTGGTTTTGAGGGAGCCCTGGCTCAACGCCATGCCCTGCACAGCTGTGGGGACATGACTAATGAGTAGCACGGGAGAGGGTGTGCATGGTGACCACTCAGGAACACGGCCGGGGCCAGTCCTGCAGGGGTGGGAGGGGATGCCTGCCTGGGCTTGTTTTGGAAGAGTCTCGGGGGCAAGGCCATTGTCTGCCTCCCGTGCATGTGGGAATGAACATTCTGCCCCCAAGCTGCTGCCAGAATCTCCCCACTGTGCACCTTGGGACTGTTTTCCCTGACCCGTTCTCACCAAGCTGACATCGCTTACTCTGAGAGTTACTTGACACTCAGGGCAGGACAGGAGCTGTGTTCCTTCTGCTGGGGGAGCCAGCCCTAGGGAGGAGAGGCCGAGAGGGGCTGCTGCTGGGGCTGCCACAGCGGTGCCTGAGGGCGCGAGTGCTTCTCTGGCATCCCCAACAGAGGAAGGTCTCTGGGTGGGCAGAGCACACCTGTAGCGGGCGGCGCAGGTCCCATTGTCTGCAGCAGAGCAGGCGGACCCCAGAGCCTGCTGGCGTCACAGAGCTTTCTGGTGACAGATGTGGCAGCTCTGGGAAGGGCAAATGTCACACCAAGCATTCGAGCGTCCCAGGTGCACACAGACACACGTGCCCCCAGCAAGGAAAACCAATGTGACTTTTTCTGCTCTTTCTTTTCTTTAGCTCTTGGAGTTTGACAAGGAGTTGTCTGTCTTTAAGGACAGACTGTATGAACTGGACATCTCGTTCCCTCCCAGGTAAGAAACATGCTATTTGCTGGATGAACCCGGCCAGGAAGGCGGCATCTCCGCCCTCCCAGTCTCTGGTGCATTTGCATGTCTGTGTGTGCCGGTGTGTGCTGGGCATGAGTTGTGCATTCTGTGTGCATCTGGAGTGTATCTACCATATCTGTGTGTACACGAGTGTGTTGTGCATGTGTGTGTGCACGTGTGCATGTGTGTGGACTTGTGCATCTGGTGCACATGTGCGTCTGTGTCTGTGTGTATCTGTGCATGTGTGTGCACATGTGCATCTGTGTATGTGTGCGCACTTGTGCACGAGCGTGTGTGCACGTGTGCATCTATGTGTATGTGTGCACCTGTGCATCTGTGTGTGCATGTGTGCGTCTGTGTGCACTTGTGCATGAATGTGTGTGTGCACTTATACATCTGTGTGTGCACCTGTGCATCTGTGTGTGCACATGAGCACAAGTGTGTCTGTGTGTTCTTGTGTGCATGGTGTTTTTGTGTGTGCACACATATCTGTGTGTCCTGCAGTTGTGTGCGAACTGCGCCTTCTCCTGCCCTTTTCATGACCTGAAGAAAGCAAGCAGCTGAGAGTAATAAGTAATTCTGTTATCTTTTTCAAAAAAGGTTTTTTCCAATACGCAAAATACAGCCTTATCAGACTTGCACATGAGGGGCCTACGGGGACTGTGTGTTATGGATCTTTCTGGGAGTATTGGGACCTCCAAATGCAGTGTGTCCACATGGGTGTGGATGTGTTTAAGGCATGCGTGTGTGTGCACCTGAGTTTGAATGTGCAGATGGTGCGTGCTGTCCGTGGATGTGCAGACGTTGCTTGGTGTCCGTGGATGCGCAGACGTTGCGTGGTGTCCGTGGATGTGCAGGTATTGTGTGGTGTCCGTGGATGTGCAGGTGTTGCGAGGTGTCCGTGGATGTGCAGACCTGGTTCAGATGTTGCGTGGTGTCCGTGGATGTGCAGACCTGGTTCAGATGTTGCGTGGTGTCCGTTGCGAGTAGGTGTCCGGCCAGGTGGATGTGCAGACCTGGTTCAGATGGGCGTGGGTGTCCGTGGGATGCGTGACCCGGTCCAGATGCTTTCGCGTGGTGTCCGTGGATGCAGACCTGGTTCAGATAAGGCGTGCGGGTGGTCCTCTGTAGGTGGGATGTGTGAACCGGTTCAGATGTTGGTGCGTGGTGTCCGTGGGATGCAAGACGCTATGCGGTGTCCGTGTGGATGGTGTTGCTGGTGTCCGTGGATGTGCAGGTGTTGCGTGGTGTCCGTGGGATGCAGGTGTTGCATGGTGTCCGGGATGCAGACTGACCTGGCCCAGATGTTGCGTGGTGTCCGTGGATGTGCAGACCTGGTGCCAATGTGTGTGGGACATGCACCACACAGTTGTGGATGTGTGTGCACGAGGTGTGCTTGCATACATGGTTGCATATGTGAACATGAGTGAGAACGTGTGATTCGTGTGTGTGTAGGACATATGCATGTGGCTGTGTGTTCTGTGGGTGTGTGTGCACGTGTGTGTGTTCACGCATGGAGATGTGTGCCTGGGTGTGGGTGTTTGTGTGCGTTTCTATGCAGATTTGCTGGCACAGAGCAGTTCTCACCGTTGCTAGCTACAGGGGACTTCCACTGGCAGATGTGGACTTTGCCTCTCAGCTGGGAGCAAGGTTGGGAGCCGGAGGACGCAGCCTCAGAAAGCTGACTCAGGCTTTCCCGAAGTCAGAGGCAGCGCTGAGGGCTGAGCCTTGAGAGTGGAAGAGCACTTTGGTGTCCAGGGGAGTTTTCAGACAGGTCGGAGGAGCCTCTGGAAGGCAGTGGTGGCCCAGGCCTGCCACCCTCCTCACAAGCTCCTTCCTGTTCTGCAAAGGCACCAAGGCTCCCTGCCAGGCACACCAGCCTCATCCTGCAGGAGGTGCAGGAAGCCCAGGGGATCTCGGGCCCACACCCCTCTTCCTGGAGGGCTCCCCGCTCCCACTTGGATCTGAAGTCTGACTGCTGGAGACACAGGCCCCCAGAGAGACCCTCGTGCCCAGTGGCATTCCAGAAAGATCCGTGGACCCCGACCCTCAGCACTCCCAGGGTGCCCATGCTGGCCGGGCTTGCTCCTCGGCATTTGGCTGTGTGAGAGCGGCTTCTGCTTTCCCACTGCTTCTGCCCTGCCGGGGGGTCCCGAGTGCCCCTGCATGCCAGGCTCGTCCACCTGCCACCTCACACTCTGCCCCGTGCAGCTTCACACCTGTCGGGATGCGTTGGCCTTCCTGTGCTTTCCTGAAGGCTGCCAGGGCTCTGAGGCCTTGGGGGCATCCTTGCCATGGCCTGCCTGAGGCCTGTGTCTGCCCCAGCTCCTCAGAACCTGGGAACCAAGCCACCATCTGCACCTGCTGGTCTGGCAGCATCTCCTTCCCGCTGTGGCTCCCGGTTTTCAGAATCGTTTCATAGTTTTTGCTGTTGTGGTTTGAGTGAACACATTGCAAACCGGCCGAGCAGCCAAGTGCATTTTCCTGTCCCTGCCACCCAGGCCCCACCCAAGTTTTGGGCGGAGGTGAGCTCGCTGCCTTGGAGCAGCTTGAGGCACCATGTCAGCATTGGTGGGCAGGACCCTCCTGCGGGTGGTAGGCACTCCATGGGGAGATCCCGCACCTGCTGACCCTGGGAGGAGACGGCATTCCTAGCGCAGAGCTCCAGGAACAGCCATACCCGCGGCGTTGGTGCACACTGGCGGAGTGACGCCAGGAAACATATCATTGGCAGATGGGTCTGAAGACCAGCGGGGTCTTCTCCCGCAAAGGTGTTTGCCACTGATCCCATGGATGACTAGAATTCTGCTCTGAATGAATTGTAACTGAATGCTGTCATTTTACCAGAAAGGGTGCTAATATTTCAGACATTTATACAGCCCTCAATTTTTGTCCTTAACTAAACGCACGGTTCTTCCTAGTGCTTTCTTTAGGGACAGCCACAAAAGTGACCTGTTTGAGGTGGTCAGAAGCAGGAGGGTGAGCAGGCGGGAAGGAGGCTGGCCAGACCTTGGGCTGCCTCTGCCTCCCCATGAAGCACTCTCCCGGGCAGGACCCTGTGCTGTAAGATGGTGCCTTCGGGCCGGGATGGCACCCACGATGCAGCCTCCCAAAGGTCTTTCGTGCCATGTGCTATTTCCATTGGGTGTAATGTGTTAAAGCTCTACATATGTGCTTAGAATTACTGGGGGATGAGGGACCCATGGTGACAGGGATGAGTCTCGCCCACTCTGGTCTCTGGAAACCAGGTGGCTGTGAGTGGATGCGGGGTCAGGCAGCTCTGAGTCAATGTGGGGTCAGGTGGCGTCAGCCCTTAATGGTGAGCAGAGGCGGCGATGGGCTTTCTTCACCCAGCGTTGGTCTGCCCGGCTCCCCAGACGCCAGAGCCCTCAGGGCAGGACGTGTGGTGTGCGCCCGAACAGCAGCCCCGCAGCCCCTGCCTTGTAGCTCCTGACCCGTGTGGCTCCCGGTACAGCCCAGGCTCAGGTGACGGGGATTTGGACACCTCAGCGGTAGCATGGAGCCGCCGCCTTTTTGTGCATCCTAGCTAGAAGTGAATTTCTGATTTTTAGTTTAACTTTGAGCATTAACCATCATTAACTCTAAAATAAACAGATTTAAGACGGCTCCACGGCAACCCCTCCACTGGCGTGACAGTCCGGCATTTCCAGGCGTTAGCATTTCTCGCCAAACCCCGTGTAAAACAGGCTGGCGAGGGCAGCGCCTCCGGAACCAGAGTCCCGGCTCTGCCCCCGACACGGCAGAGTTAGGCGCATTGCTCACCCCTCGGGGCCTCAGCGTCTCCCTGAGGATGGTACCATCTCCTCTGGGCAGGCTGAGCCTTCAGGCCCCCACATCAGCCCCTCCGCAGCCAGAGAGCCCAATGCTCCCAAGTCACCACAGTGTCACCGGCCGTCAGGTGGCTCCTGTTACAGCTTCCAGAACGTTGGGGGCATGCGTTTCCTCGTGGGGGCCGTGGTGCTGCTTCCGGAACGTGGGGGGCATGCGTTTCCTCGTGGGGGCCGTGGTGCTGCTTCCGGAACGTAAGGGGCATGCGTTTCCTCGTGGGGGCCGTGGTGCTGCTTCTGGAACGTGGGGGGCACTGCGTTTCCTCGTGGGGGCCGTGGTGCGGTGCATAGTCAGCCCTCCCTCTTTGTCTGTGTGGACACTGTGTGTATGGAAGATGGGAACTGTCACGTCCATTGCCTGGGGGCTCCCTGTGTCTGTGGACTCCTTACGTAGTGAAGAGACTGCGTCATTCTATTTATTCAGAAGAAAACCGCACGCTGCCATCGAAATGACCCCGCAGAATCTCACTGGCCGCCCCGGTGGCCCGGCCACTTCCGTCTTCCAGCTACTGAGGACCCTGGAGCTTTTGTCCATATGTGTCCCATCTATTGGTCATTGCCATCAGTTTTTAAATATTTATTAGTTCATTTTAAAAGTAACAAACTCATTACATGTTTACATAAGTAACATTTCTGTGAAAAAAATACCGATGCATGGGGAAGGCACCTTCCACTGGGGCATGGTCTGGCGGCCGTGCACACAGGTCCCAGGAAATCCCAGCCACCCAGGGTGTGGGCGTCTCGATGTGGCTCGTCTGGCACCCAGTGCATGCAGCACCTTCCTCAGAATGGCGGAGCTCAGCGGAGGCGTCTGTGTGGTGGGGACACCGCCGGCCTCCATGAGGAATACATTTTCCAGCACCCTGGGGCCTTCCTGAAAGCTTAAATTTTGTCATTGGGAGCAAATGGCATCCGCTGCTGCTGGAAGCGACAGGCGCGTCCGCCCTTCCGCAGAAAACGCCTGTCAGCCACCAGGGTCTGAGTTACCACAGTCTGTCTGTCAGTCTTTCTGGCAAAACATGGTGTCTGAAAACGAGCAGCTGCTTTAGCTGACAACTCAGATGCAGGCGTGCTCCCCTGAGAGACGAGGGCCATGTGGTCCCTCTGGGCAGAGGGCTCCCTGGAGGCCTCATCTCA